GGAACCCACTTTTTCCCAAGGCATTATTCAGCATTCCCTACCTAGCCAGGCAGAAAAGATTTCAGAGAGAGGGCAAATATCCCCCAGTTATGGGAATGAGGCTCCAGCTTTCTAAATTATCTGGGGTTGTAACCATGGATACCACCTTGTCTGGTACCTGGTCCACATCTTTTCTGAAATCTGCTACAAGAAGGAGTAAAAGGCAGCCTGGGGAGCTCCAGCAATAGCTGAGGAGAGCCTGGATTACCTGGGGGACAGTTCTGAAGTGCTGTATTACCACAGTCCCACCTCAGCACTGCTGAGATGCAACGCTCACAGGAAAGCCATAAGAAAGAGCTAGGTATGTGTAGAGGAAGAAGGTTGTATAGTCGAAAAACAGGGTTGTTACTCTCATCGTGAGTTGAGCAGAGAACTGTGCCACTGACATAGTGAAAGAGGGAGCCTATACTACTTTGACATTTGTGACCTGGCCTGCCTATGTCTAGCCAGCCAGAGGGAGTGGGGTCAGGGTTAGCTGCCTTCATCTATGCAGTCACAAAGGTCAGGGTGATACTGGAGAGTATATTCTCTCCCAGGAGGCCTTGGCCTCCCCCAGCAACCTTGGCAAGACTTGTTAAATAACATCTTTGTGTGAGACTTCTCTCCTACATCCTCATGACAAGTCTAGGTGGCTTAAGATCAAGGAGCGCAGACATGGATGTGGACCATCCCTCCAAGCAGCTCTGAAGTAGGGCCATGCACGCTGCCTTCCTGTAAGTTATTGCCCAGCCTCCCTTCACGCCCTTGACATAGCCGTCTCCAAATTTTTTTTTGTTTCACACGTTAAAGGAAAAGAGCATTAATAAGCAGGAGGCCTACTGTAGATCTTGATTTGCGGCAGTAAAGATGCGTTTTTTTCGTCTGTCAGAGAAACGCGGTGAAGATGCTGTCATGAACCCCCCCACTTTTCCTTTCTCAGTACACTGTGACCAATAGTCATTTTTCCTAATAGAAGTGTCAGCAGGCATTTTCCAAGAAAGAATCTGGTTTCGCTTCCAAAATTGGTGGTCAGACATCTGAGACTAGCTGTTGGTGTGCTTGTTTTTTTAAGGCTTTCTTGGATGATGGGTTATTTCCTCGTGCTTAGAGATTACTTGCTTTTTCTTGTTTTCAGTTATGGTAAAATGGTGGAAATGTTATTTATTGGCTAGAAATCAATTAATGAGTCTTTTGTGAACAAGAAACTCATGTGTTAAAACTTCATTGTAAATTGGAAGCCGTCTTTTAAAAAAAGAAGAAAACACCCTTAAAATGAAATAACTGTCGTGGCTCCCTTTGTCTTTATTTTCTTTATTTCTGGTGGAGGCACTTACATTTGGCCCTTCCCCATGCCATGATTCCACAAGCCAAGGGAAAGCCTGACGTTCGATGTCTGGTCTGGGGTCTGATAATGCCAAGGAATTGCCCTCTCAAGGAAAGGAATCCCCTCACAGTAAAAAAAAGACCACTTTCCTCCACCGGTTCAGCCCTTTAGTTATAAGCCAGCGGCGTGGCAGCAGTGGCGTTGCTGAGCCTCCCACTCAGAAGCCACTGCCTTGCCCCGGCCTCCTTCCTGGCACCCTGCCCACCACTAACTCATACTGCAGCCCCAGCTCCTTCTGTGACTTCTCCGGCAGAGGCCGCTACTTGAAGAAAAGGAAGAAAATCATCCTCACACAAGATAAAAATAACTATCATAGTAATTTAATAACTCGGCATGCGATCCTAATAATAGACATGGATGGATTCCATCTTCGGGGAAGTTGAAGAAGCCAGAGAGGAGTCGAATGTGGAGTTGGACTCTTAAGAAAAGGCCGTGTCAGCCTCTTGATTTCCTCTGAAAAGTAGAAAAATCATGAGGTGCCATGGAGTCAGCAGGAAAAATAACCTCCACTGGGCAAGTGCCCGGGGCCCTCGGAACGGAAAATGTGTCAGTGAGGGGGTTCTATCAGTTATGGCAGTAGAGGTAGAAAGGCTAAATCCAGGGCCTGCCAGGCCTGCGTAAGGCAGTTTGACTCTTAAAGACAGTGACATTAAGGGCCACAGTGCAATTTATAGGCTGGAAAGCGAGCCCAGATTTCTAATTTCAGATAAGATGAGTGAATGCATATTGGCACGTTTCCCAATAAATAGCATCCCAACTTAGCAATGTTCTTACACCTCAGCTAAACCTTTGGTAAAATGAGATAATATTTACTCTTATTTCCAGTGTTGTGAAAAACAAATTTTTTTTTTTGTTTTAAGCCTGGAAATTAAGAACTCAAATGCAAATTCACATTTACCTCTCACTCTTCCTACATTGAATCCCCACTTTCTTGGCTGCTATGTGTAAATTGTGTGGCCTTTTTGGTTTTATATAGTGACTTTTAGGCTTTAGAAAGAAAGCCTGTTTAATTTGGATGCAGTGGTTTAATCACTTCATGGTAAATGAGGCAGCAGTCTTTTTAATGTTGCTACAGTCAGAAGGCTCATCATAGAATTCAAGGAGTTGGGAAGACAAGGTTATTCTTTGTTCCAAGGCCAGAGCACGACCTCGCGGTGTCTACTGGCCAACCACTCGGCCCTCTTATCCTCCTCATCTCGGCTTCTCTGCACTAGGAAAGAAGGTTGATGCAGACCTAGTTTTCCAGCTCCTGGTCTGTGTGCCCTTTGTGGCTGAGTTAACTTGGCCGAGTTTTCCCTCTGAGGTCATCACTTATTTATCCTTGCCTTATAAAATCTGTTTCCTAAAGAGCTGACAACCACTTGCTCTTTCTTTCCTGAGAACTAAAAGAGATTCGTCCAGCTCAGTTCTTCTCAAAGACACCCCATCCGCGCCTTGTGCTTGTTTGCTCATCTATAAAAGGAGGAAGCGAGTGAACGAACAGTGGTTGCTGTGATGTCAGTAGAAAGGCTTCCTTAAAGATAGACTAGATAATTGGACAAAAGGCCGAGCTCTCTCACAGCCTTTGGGATTTAGACGATTGACTCCGAGAAGCCTGACTAGATAGATCCCAGTTACATCATGCATATGCTATGGAAAGGTCTGTGTGAGGCAGGCCTGAGAGCCTCATTCTCTCTTCCCATGGGGATCCACTCTCTCAGCTGGGCTGCCCGGCCCCAACTTGACCTGGACCCAGTATGTTTTCACTCACAGAGGTCCCTTACTGTACAGTGACTGTACCAAAAATGTTGGATTCCAGATGGCCCAGGTCATGCTGTTGTCAGCTTAGGAGAATCTTCCAAGCCTATTGGTAGGTCTCTTATGTTCCTCTTCTGTTCCCGTGAGGGTTTGGCATAGACGGCCATCAGGAGAACGTGGCATTAGCAGGAGCTGGAATCAGGAGGGAACCCAGGAGGCTGGAACCCAGCGGATGAAACACATTCCAGATTTGTACTGTTGTTTCACTTCCTCACTGTTGGGTCACGGTGGTCTTCCTTTCTAGAGAAGTTTGAACTCTTCTGAAGGGACAGTGCTTTCTTTGCTAATCCAATCTGGTCTGCTTGCTCAGTTCCGCTGGCAGGAAGAGAACACTCTTCTGAGAGCACAAATAAAAACCTGCTCAAAACCTACCTAAAGGACATACCAGAGTCCATCTCTATGGAGGAGGAGAGAAGGCATAGCAGATGCCCCTCCTTTGTCTAGTACCGGGGGAGGGGGCTGAGGCACAGAGCCAGGGTGCCACTTGGCTGCTCAGGGTAGATCTGAGGGTGACATCTGAATGCGAGGCTCCCCACGCCAGATAAAGTCACTGCTCGAGAAAGGAGAGTTCAGATTTATGTCTTCTGGGAACCCTGGCTTCTTTTTTCCCACTTGAGAAATAAAACTGGATTCTCTGCTCACCCTGCTCACCATAAAAAGCTACTTGAGTACTCTTTGCATTCATCCTTCCTCTGGGTGACAGAGGTTGGCTTTCAGAGTGACCTGCATTCCGGTAGGAACAGCCACCCTGCCCTCCCCTTCCTGGGGAAGAGCCACATCTATTGGTAGTCTCTTGGCTAGTCACGCCTTAGGGTGGTGGGTGGGGACAGGCCTACCGCTCTGTTGACATGGGTGTCTTGGGGTGTAGTCCTCAGAACAAAAGAAGGTGGGGGGTGGGGTGTACTGCTGACCAGGATCAGATAGCCAGGAAAATAGAGCAGTTATGTAACTGTGTTTACTATGGCTCAGGTGGCGCTGAGAAGGCAGAGGTGGCCCCTGGCAAAAGGCAGCGCCAGAGATGGGGAGAGAGTCACAGGGAGGGAGGGCCCTGTTGGAAGATAAGGGAGACTGGAAGATAGCGCATCGCTGAAAGGCGGCAGCTCTGTTGTTGACAACAGCCGTGTTACCTAGGACCGCCTTCCCTACCCCCAGGCTCTCCCTAACCGTGCCAGCTGCCTGGGCCGGCAGCGATAGAGCTGAGGCTGCAGGGAGGAGCTGAGCAATCAGACACCTGGTTCTTGGCTGAATCTCTGGATTTTGCTCCTTTTCCCCCTTTAATCTCCCACTTTTCAAAGAGGAGGGTTTCTGCTCCCTGGCTATGGGCAGAAAGGGAGGTGTCCGTCAAGGTGCCTTATGCTCTCTGCTCCCACCAATGTCTCATCCTTTCTTCTATGAGGCTGAGGGGACACCAAGGGAACATGGTGGAGGGATCCTGTTATAGCCTCTCCTCGGGCCAAGGACATAGCCTAAGACTCTGGGAAGGGGAGTGAGTCCCACTGGTTCCAGGGAAAAGCAGGCCGAGCTGAGAGAGAAGGTGATGACCCCAGCGAAGCCTGGGCCTCAGTAGACAGGCAGACGTCGAAACAGCTCTGGAGACAAGCTCAGGCCCCCAGCGGGGCCTACCCTGCCTCCTACAAGCAGAGCTGTCTACTGGACTCCCTGTTCCCATAGAGACGACACTGGTAGCCAGGCCCCAGCTCCTTGCCCCATGGCCGCCACCTCCCTTTGAGAAACAGGAAGTTGAGACCTTGGTCAGCTCAGCTGCACCCTCCACATTAAATATTTATCTTGGAGTCCAGGTCAGAGCTCTAGAGAATAAGAGAAGCTTGCTGCTGGCGAGAGGGGGCATGACCAGGGTTCCTGGAGTTGGAAGAACTTCAGCGTCACCATCTTTGGAGAACAAGGAAGAACATGAACGAGATGTGGCCCTTCTTAGTCGTGAGGACCGTGACAGGTGGGGAACAAAACCGGTGACAAGGGAAATGGGCACGTATTTTGTGTCTGAGGGAGGGAAGGGGATGGTGACTGCGGGGTGGGGAAGTAAGTGTCCAAGCTTCGGAGCAGGGAAAACGCACGACCACCAGCCCTCCTTTCTGCAGCTGTCTTCTCTGGGCGGTGCTACCGTCCCCTCCTCATCCCTTCAGTGTTCTGGGAAAGATCACAGATTCTTGGAAGGGCCTGAGAGGGGATCCCATTCGGCTCCCTGCTCAGTGCGACAAGTGCCTTTACAAGGATGCCCCACAACAGGCAGACTTGGAACCCCTGTCATCACTGAGAAGCTGTTCCTTGGAAACCTTGCCACCGGCTTCCATGTGTGCACCCAATGGTCCCTCTTGCGCTAGCTCAGCGGGTCTGTTTCCACACGCAGCCCTGCAGACCCTGGAGGCCAGCCAGCAGCCTCCCTCTCTCCAGCTTCTTCTCAACCTCAACATCCCTCCTTCCGCTGTTCACTAGGGATATTATTTCGCGCTGGTTCACCACAACCTGGGTAGCCCTTTTAACGCAATTGAGAAAAGATAAAGCTAACAGCATCAGTGATGGTAGGGATTTTTTAAAAAAATGTTTCATCTTTTCTGCATTCCCTTCCTTCTCAACTTTTCAGTTGAATAATGAACCTGGAAAACACTCTAAAGTACATGGTGGCCTCAGGGCACCAATCCTACATCCTGTACCTATGCAATAAATGTTTTCATATTTTCGTAATTTATAACTGAACACCCCCCAAATCTGAAATTGCCTAATAACCTATTTGCTATGTGTTTGTTTGGGGACTTGGCGTCCCAGGGCCGAGCCAGGGGCTAAGAAGTACTCCCGAGTCTTCCCATTCACAGTGACATTCATTGAGCACCGTCACTTCCTATCACAGGCCCTGTGCGCACACAGGGGCCTGGGGGAGAGGGAACAGACGGATGGCCGGAGGGGCCGGTGTCCAATGGGCGCGGGCTCCTGGGACCGGTGTCAGAGCAGCGGGAACAGCGGAAAAGCAGCGAGATCAAAACAAATGCCGGTGTGTGGGAACACCAAGACCGGGTCACCCCGTGCCCGCCAAAGGGCGCCGCCCTCATCCTCTTCAGGGGCGCGCCTCGCCTGGGGGACCGCTGCATTCGGCCGGTTTCCTCCCCGGGCTGTCCTCCGCGGGGCTTGCACGTGTGTGAGCAGCGCCCGCTTTGGCGGCGCCCGCGCGCGCGTGTATTTGTTTGTACACGCCCGGACGCGCGCTTACGCAAGCCCCAAATCGCTCTCTCAAGTGCGGGGGGAGGCAGCGGGGCCCTCCCTTGGTCCGCTAGGCCCCTCGGCTCATGGGGCGCTGTCTCGGCCCCAGCCCGTCTGCAGATCGGTTCCGTCTCCGGGCTGCCGGCTCCGTATCGTGGGGCTCTGTCTCGGCCCCAGCCCGTCTGCAGATCGGTTCCGTCTCCGGGCTGCCGGCTCCGTATCAGTTGCTGGCTGGACCCGGCTCTTTAATCCCTCGTGCCCTCCGTCCTGGCTTCGCAGTGCAGCGGCTCCCTTCCCACCCGCTGGAAATGTCGCTGGAAACTCTGAGTGGCGCTCCCCACCCCCCGCGCCCGCACCGACGCCAGCCGGGCGGTGGGGGCCGGGGAGGCAGCTGGGAAACCAGAGCTGGCTCCCCAGGGACCCTGGCGGCCCCTCCCGGCGCCTCCGCGCGGCCGGCCCGGCCCCCTCGGCCGGGGCCACAGCGTCCTCGCGGCGCGCCCCGACGGAGGCCACTCGCACGTCCGGGCTGCGGGCCCGAGCCCCCGCCCTCCCCACCCCCGGCTCACAGGCCAGATTGGAGGGAGGCCGCCCGCCGCCCGCTCGCGCCTCTCCAGTCCTTCCTCCCCGCGCGCGCTCGGCCCCGTCCATCCCTCTTCCTCCTCGGGCGCCCAGCCTCGCGGAGCCCGTCCTAACCCAGTCACGAGGGCGGACGGCAGCCCCGTCCGCTCCCTGCCCGCCCTCCCCGAGGGCCCGCCGCTGCCGCACCAGGCAGGAGCCCGGCCGAGATGCTCCTGCCCTCCCGGGCGTCCTCGGTCCCCTCCACCTGCTCGCTGTGGAAGGTAGGTGTCTGGAGGACAGGGGGCGGAGAGGAGGCGGGGGCGCAGTCGGGGAGGCACCCGCGCCCAGCCTGAAAGGAAGGCACAGAGCCCGCCCCTTGGGGTCCTTGCCCCAAACTCGGGGGTGGAAAGAGGTAAGAAGTCTCCCTCAAAACAAAAAAAGCGAAATTCGAGAAAACCTGTCGTGTCCACGTGGACTCATAGCTGGAAAATACCCGGGAAGGCGCCTAGGGCTGAGCCCCCAAAGCCAGGGCAGTTCTTGCAGGTGGGAAGGAGTCCTGGACTACAGCAGAACCATTTCACCTCTTCCAGCCCTTTAGAGCTGGCTGCCGGGGTGAAGGACACCCAGTGTGAAATCTGGGAGGACCCCTGAGATTTCCTGGCACCCTCAGTCTTCTGCCAGACCCTCTGACCAATTTCCCCCGTACCCCTGGCAGGGCTGCTAGGAGAAAAACTTAGCCCACCCTTCCCCACCTCCCCCTTGCATGTCTCTGGGGGAGGAGGGGTGCCATAGGGAGCAGCAGTGTTGGGGAGGGTCAGACTCAGCCCCCAAGGATCAGCCACCCCTGAAAAATCCGGTGGTGGTGTGGGGACCTCCTGCCCCCCTCTCTCTGCCAGAGGGCTTTTCTCACTGAGCACAGCAGGGTGGGACAGGCAGGCAGGGAAGGAGGCCGGGTCAGCTCATGAGTAGGGACTGCTGATGCTGACCTCTAAACAGCCTTAAGCAGTCAGCTGGGCAGGGAGGGGTGTGCTGCTAGGAACCAGCCTGCCCCCAGCCTAGGCCTCCAGGCCTCCCACTCGCCTCTGCCTCGATTTCCTCTGCAAGGAGGGGAGAAAACAGCAGGAGCTGGGGCGTGTCTGCATGCTTTGCTTTTGGTAGGAGTTCTAATTCAATCCAGCTGGTGCACTGACCCTCCCTCCAGCTTCAGCCTCTACTCTCCCCACAGCCAGGGGCGGGCACAGAAAAGCTCTGCCCCCAGTAGGTCTTTCAAGGGTCAGAAGGAATCCCCACTCACCAGAGACAGGGAATTGCCCCTGCCTTGCCTATACCCTCCAGCCTGCCATGGCCTGATCAGGGACTGGGTACAGAAGTCATCACAGCAGTGCTTGCATCCCCTCTGGTCTCCATAACTCTTGTGCTGCTTGTGTGACTGCACCCACACACACACTGATAGCTGACACCCCTCTGCACCCACAACCCCCATGCTGCTCACATGCCCCTACCCCGTGGTCCGCCCTCAAGTCCCATTCACAGCACTGCCCTTACATTCCACCACACACACAGCACTTCACAAGGCCCTGGCTGCATTCCCGTGCACCCCCAGACCACAGGCACACACAAGCCTAAGTAAACAAAAATGCCAGGATTGGGCCAGCCCCAGAAGGTGGCGAAGGTTGACTCTGCTTCTGGCCCAGTCCAACAGCACAGGTGAGGAGGGACCAGCTCCGTACCACGGCTCTCTGGGAAACAAAGCCCTGCCTGACAGCCCCACTGCCTCCCTCTCCTGGCTGCCTGGAGCCCCTTCCCCTGACTTAACCTTTGCATGGGGCAAAAGAACCTAGCTGGCTCATCAGGTTTGCTGCTCCCAGGAAGATCCTCTGTTGAAAAAAACAGCCTGGAGGTTTGGGGGAGAGAGAGAGGGAGAGGGAGAGAGAGAGAGAGAGAGAGAGAGAGAGAGAGAGAGAGAGAGAAGCACCCCTCCACACACAAGTCCAACTTTGCTCTTAACCACTGCTTCCCTCTCTGCCCCCACCCCTCACTGACACCTTGATCCCTCTGAGGCATCAGTTTAAGCCAAAGAGGCCGAAAAAGGGAGCTTATACTCACTCCTCTGAGTTCAGAAGGAGTGGTTCCTGCTGCCTGGAAATGCCCCCACGCTCTCCTCCTCCCTGGAACCTTAGCCCTGCTGGGCCTTAGGTGGGTGGCCTTGCTGTTGCCCAGGGCCTCTTCCTGGGCCTGAGGAACCCCCGTGCCTGCTGGGGAGGAGATGCTCACACAGGGACTGGGGGACGCAGAAGGAACTGAAACAAAGTCCCGAGTGCCCAGGCCTCCTCTGCCAGCTGCCCCAGTTCCGTCTGCCTTCCCTCTGGGGGAGCAGGCTGACTGTGCAGTGAGCGCCCCAGAGGGGCTGGCCAGCAGGCCTGCCTGAGGCTTTGTCCAGCAGGTCCGCTCCTGGCCAGCCTCCCCTCCTCCTCGCCTGGCCTCCCCTCCCCCACTCCCACCCGGAGCTCCTGCCCAGGGCCTAACAAGCAGCCCATTGTACCTCTGGGAGCCGGCACTGGCAGCCTTCAGGCGGGTGCCCACAGTGGCCTGTTTCCTGGGTCCTGGAGCTCCCACTCAGCTGGCCCTGACCCTCTCCCACAGCTGTCCCCTCCCTCCCGACCCGAGGGTACAGGCAACCCAGGCCCAGCAGGGCTTTCTCTTCCTCCCTGTTTCCCCACAGAGGACACGCAGAGGAGCCACTGGCACACCCGGAGTCCTCCGACCTTGACCCAAGCATGCAGGCCCCACCCTGCAGCCTCCCAGCTGGGCTCAGCCTGGATGACTTCATCCCTGGCCACCTCCGAGCCCACGTAGGGTCATCCTCCCGGGGGACACGGGTGAGTGAACAATAGAGAGGGTTACTGTGGGCCCGCAGTTGGTGGGGACCTTGCAGGACAGGTGGGGAGCAGAAGGATGAAAGGACTGGAGGGCGGGAAGGGGGTTGGAAGCTAGCCCTAGGGAAGATAGCGCTTGCTGGCTTCTTGCAAAAGGGTCAGGCTGGTCCTCAAGCCCTCAGCATGGGGTATGGCTGTGCCCTGGCAGCCATCCCTCCCACCCTTCTGCGGAAACTTCTGGGCCTGAGCTGCCGCTCCTGGCCCCTCCCCACAGGTGCCGGTGATCCGGAATGGTGGCTCCAACACCCTTAATTTCCAGTTCCATGACCCCGCGCCCAGGACCGTGTGCAATGGGTACTTCCCAACAAGGAGGGATGCTTCCCAGCACCCAGGTGGGTCTGCTCAGGAAAACCTGCTCCAGAAGCCCCGTGTGGGGGTGGGGGATCAGAGCTCCCTGGGCCCTGCCATCTGGCACCATCCTGTGCTGGGCAGGAGCGGGTAGGGGGCCTCTGAGCTCAGCTAACTGCCCCTTTCTGTGTGCGCATGCTGGCCTGTGAGAGTGAAAGCTGTGGGAGAGAACAGGCTGACACATCCTTCCCCCTCTCTACCCCCCAGTGCCAGGGGAAGGAAGTGTGCCGGGGACATTGCTGTGGGGGCTGGGGGGACCTCCAGCTGGACAGGGAGTAGCTCAGATTGGGAATGGACGGGGAGAGGAATGTGAGTATATGTTGGCTGTAGAAGGGTGTGGAGGCCGAACCCCACGACAGGCCCTAAGGACTGCTGCACTCTGTACTCATCAGCCCAGCACAAGCTCTGAAAGTCTGTCAGCTCCTGGGCTTCTATGAGTCACCCCAGCCTGGGCCACGGGGTCGAGGCGATCCTGGAGCATTCTTTGTTCCGGCCCACTCTGGGGAGGCCCACTCCTCCTGAGAGGCCAGCATCCTCTATTGAGCATTCCCATGAGGCAGGCACGGTGTCAAGCCGTTTATACATTTAACACATGATTGTTGTGCTCTTAGAACATGTTGGACACTGTAAAGACACTTTACAAACCTTATGCCACTTAATCCCTCCGCATCCTGGCAAAGTGTTGACATGTTCCCAGTGAGGAACTGAGTCTCAGAGATGCTTATTTACAGAGGCTGAGCTGAGTCACACCCTGGAGCCTTTATGCTGCTACGCTGACTGAGGATCTGGGGGCTGAAGGCTCTGGGGTCTAGGGAATGGGCTTCTGCCCCCCATCCAGAGCCTCTTGACTATGCGTGAGGCACCGTGCTGGGCATCGTCACACCCACTAGATCTCCCTGAACCCTTGCCATGATGACCCTTAGTTATATAGAAGTAGAAACTGAGGCCCTGGGTGGTGGGGGGAAGGTGGTGTTTGATTGCTGTGTCCAAGGTCACACAGCCAGTAGATGGCAAAGCGAGGGTCTGACTTCAGGTTGTCCCCTCCAAGCCAGCATCTTTTCTGTGCCACCCCCCAGCCCCCACCCACTCCCCGCTGCCTCCCCAGCCAGGACATCCCCAGCATTCTCTGCCAGTGATGATTCCCAGCCTTGATTCCGGATGGAAGCTCTTAGGACAGCCCCAGGAAAACAGGGTGGGGTGGGCACAGATTTCTCAAGACAAAATCCATTTTTATTCACTGTAACTAAAAAATAAACAAATAGGCCTGTGGTGCTGCTGGGAATGGGGAGGTTTGTAGAGTCTGCGTCATCAACTCAGACAAGGAGATGTTGAAACATTCAAACCCACAGGGACCAATATTCTGAGGAGCTAAGGGACAAGCAAGGTCAGGTGGGACCCCTGCCCGTTGCTAATGCTGTCATGCACATGCCCGCAGACCCTGCTTGGTATCAGACCTGGCCAGGCCCTGGGAGCCGGCCGTCAGGGACCCAGAAGACTCCAGCCTCCCAGCATCCCCAGAACTGGTCAGCCACGTGGACCAAGGACAGCAAACGCCGGGACAAGCGCTGGGTCAAGTACGAGGGAATCGGGCCCGTGGATGAGAGCGGCATGCCTATTGCCCCCCGATCTGTGAGTCCAGGGCTGGGGGCCACTGATAGATGGGGCCCAGGGACCCACACTGAACTCCACTTCTGTGAATTAAAGTGAGGGCAACCAAGGCTGTCCCCAAACATTCCAGACTAAAACAGGGATTCCACTGTGATGGGTTTCGGGGGATTGTGAGCCCCATAAAATTACGGGCACTGGTGTGTCTGAGTTGCACAAGTGGTTTGTGTTTTAAGGGAGGATCTAGAATGCCCCCCAGGCTCTCAAAGGCGGAGGGTGACTGCTGTAAGGGCTGACCCAGGGCCTGGCACAGTGCTCGTGAAATGGTTGCTGAGTGAAGGACTGGCTGAATGAGTGAGCAAGAGTCCTGAGTGAGAAGGCCTCACGCTGTGGGGGCCATGGATGGATCCTGGGTCCAGGCTCCGAGGGGCTCTGCCCGCCTTCCACCCCCATGCCTGTTGTGAGCCAGCCACCCGCCTCTAGTTCTGCACCTCCTCATCTGAACCTGAAGTCAGCGACATACCCTTCCTGCCTCCCAGGGCTGTCTTGAGTCTCACGTGAGGCAGGGGATACGAAATACCATTTCCCCTATATTATTATTGCTTTTATTTTTCATTACGTAGAAGCACGTGTTCTTTGTAGAAACATCAGAAATATAGAAAAGCAAAGCAAAGAAGTGTAAACCCCCCCGCCCCCCCCCAAATCTCACAGCTTAGGGATCATTGCTGATGGAGATCCTTCTATAGATCTCATTTATATATCACATGCTATACAAAGATATTGTCATTAAAGACACCACAGTGGCCCACCCACTGGGGCTTCTAGGGTAGCCAGAGAAACGACCCCCGTAGGGAAAAACTTCTGTGGCTTGATGTTGGGAGCATGGCCTGACTTTGTCTTTTCTGGTCCCAGAGTGTTGACAGCCCCAGGGACTGGTACCGGAGAATGTTCCAGCAGATTCACCGGAAAATGCCAGGTGAAGCGCACTTCCAGGGCCCCCTTTCTGCCTGAGTAGGTTCTGGCCCCTGGGGAGGGAGGGGTGGAATCTGGCCCCTGGGGAGGGAGGGGTGGAAAGGGACCTGGCCTGCTCAGGGAGGCCTTCTCCACCCACCCCAGGCTCTGTGGTGACTGGTCCCTAACACAGGCCAAGGAAGGAGCCACCCTGTCCTTGGGGCGGGGAGGGGGGGGGGACAATGACCAGACACTGTCCGGTTTCCTGTGTGGGTACGGGAAAGCCGTGAGGTCACTCATGCATTCAGTCAGTCCTTTGACCATCTGAGCACTTACAATGTACCGTGCACTATTCTAGGTTCTGAAGATAAAACAGGGAACAAGACTGTCCTTCCCCTAGTGAAGCTTAAGACAGAGGGAGACAGAGAATAAACAGATAAATACTCAATATGGCAGATGGTGGTCAGTGCTCGGGAGCAAAGGGCCAGGGAGAGCCCAGGGAGAAAGACTGGCCAGGGAAGGCCCCTGCTAAGTGGCAGCTGAGCAGAGTTCAGGGAGTCAAGTTAGCCCTGCAGGGTGGGGGTGGGGGTGGGGGTGCTGCACCAGAGGGGGCTCCAGAGACCCAGAGGCAGGAGCAGGTCTGGCATATGCTAGAGCATCATGGAGACACTGGACTGGAGTAAGAGGGGGCATGTGCTGGGAGATGGGATCTGGTCACAAAGGGCCACTGGGGACATTATAAGGACTTAGGCTTTTACTCTGCAAGAGCCGGGGGCATGCTCTGATAAGTGATGGCTGGGAAGGCTCGCTCTGGCAGCCAGGTCAGGAAGAGATGGGACCAGGGGTGGAGGCAGGGGACCAGCTAGGAGGCTAGAAGTGACAGTGTCTCAGACCAGGGCAATAGCAGTTGGACCTGGTGAGATTCGAAGACCAAGTGACGGGAATTTGCTGATGGATTAGATGGGCCATGAAAGAGAGGAGTCACAGTATGACTTTAAACCCGAGCAGGTCAAAGGATGGAGTTGCTGTTTAGAAATGCAGGGAAGACTGTGGGAGGTGCGGGTGTAAGAGGCCCACAGTTTTGGACATGGTGCATCTGAGTGGAGACATTGAGTAGCCAGTTAAAACACAAGTCTGTGTCTCAGGGGCCAGGCCTGGGCTGCAGATGGAAATACCTGGGACTCGCTCTGAGATTTTTCTTTTCTTTTTTTTTGTTAATTGGGGAACAGTGTGTTTTTTCCAGGACCCATCAGCTCCAAGTCAGGTAGTTGTTTCAATCTCGCTGTGGAGGGCACAGCTCCGTGGCCCATGCGGGGACTGAACTGGCAACCTAGGTGTTATGAGCACTGCGCTCTAACCAACTGTTGCTCAGAGATTTTGATGTAAAGCTTCCCAAGTAATTCTAATGTACAGCCAAGGCTCGGAATCCCTGGAATAGGTGTTATTTTTTAAGCCAGAAGACTGGAGAAGATCACCTAGGGAGACGGAGAGACAGAGGCCCAAGGACTGAGCCCTGGGCACTGGGATGGTTAGTGGTTCCTGAGATAAGCAGGAATCAGCCACCAGACTAAGAAGGGGCAGTCAGGAGGCAGGAGGAAGAGGGGTCCCTTGAGGCCAAGTGGAAAAGGAATTCCAAAAGGAGGAAGGGATCCACTGCGACCAAAGCCGCTGACGGCCAGTCCCACTGACCGTTTGATTTGGTAATGTGGAGGTCACCACCCCCTGAGAACAGTGGCTGGAGCAAGAGTGGGAAGGCTAAAGCCTGCTTAGCAAGAGGGGGAACTGGGGACGGGGAGTGAGTTATGTCCAGCCATTTGCCGCAAAGGAAAGCAGAAAACTCCAGGAGCTGGAGGAAGGTGTGGGATCTTGAGAGCGTTCTAATTGGCATTTGAGGAGCTGCGGGGGCATGTCTGTCTGCCAAGGGGATCAAGCGGGTGGGCTGGTCAGCAGTTTTTCCTAGGAGGCCCCGGAAAGTTATGAGCACCATGAGGAGGGGGTCTGGGCACAGGGGGGACGGACGACGAGCATTTAGAAGAGGGTGCAGAAGGGGAACAAGGGAGAAGAGGAAGTGCACCTTCCCCGACCTGACATGGTGGGGGCAGGTCTGCAAAGGTCAGGGAGAGGGTGTGTGTGGGAACCGGGAGGGAGGACGAGAAGGATTTGGGCACATCCACTGCCCAGGTTGGCTCACTCAAGCCCTAAGTCTGCCAAAGGCACTCGAGGCCCTCCCCAGAACTGCCCTCCTAATTCCTTCCCTCCCTCGGGACATTCTTCAGGCTCTGACTCAGCCCCTCGGCCCCTGCTCTAGGCAGGAGGGAGGCTGGGAGCGGCTGAGGCAGCCTCACAGGGTGCCCAGTCCTCCTTTGCTGTGCCATCCCTGACCCGGTCCTTTCTGCTCCCGCAGACCTGCAGCTGGACTGGCCCTTTGAGGAAGCACCCAAAGGTGAGGGGGTGCGGGTGGCCCACCCCAGCCTGGCCCTGCATTTGCCCCTCCCTGCAGCCACACCTGGCTCTGGGGCTCCCCAGCTGGCTTAGTTCAACTTGAGAAGTTTGTATAGCCCATTTCTGGTGAGCTCCAAATCCCCTGGTAGGTGGTAATTAAGAGCCTCAGCGTCACTGTTCAGCGAACGCCCAGCCCTGACTGATTTCTCTGGGCCTCTCTTTCCTCATCTGTAAAATGGGGACTCCGCCCACCCCAGAGCTGTTTGGAAGATTTAGTGAAGAGTGTAAAGCTCTTAGCGCCAAGCCCACACTTAGTGGTCTGCAGCACCACCCCTGTCCACGTGAGCCACCCAGGAGAGTGGGTGGGCACGGGTGCCAGGCCCTCCAGTGGTCAGCCAGGCACCCTCAACCCCTGCTCTCATCTCCCCGCACCCCTGACTGTCTTCTCCCACCTTCAGTGGCTTCCTCCTGTGCCACCTCTGCAGACTCAAGGCATCCAGGGCCCCAGCAAAGACCTGCCTCCAGGCCAGGCCTGGCCTCCTCTCTGAGTGGGTGAGAGCCATGGTGGGCAAGGGCGGGAGGGCTGCGAGGGGCGCTGGCTTCCTATGAAACTGGCACCCCCTGGTGGCCATAGCCAGCACAGCCTTGGAGCTGGCCGGTAGGGCTCAGCCTCCTCTCAGGGTCCCCATTGCTCCAGATACTCCCCTCCCTGTCAGGGCCCAAAGGGAATGGCGGGCAGAGGTGGACTTTGCACCCATTCTTGGTCAGGACCCCTTTGTGATGCTTTTGCGGTTGGCAGCAGGAACTCATCCCAAAAGAACCACAGGTCACATGGAGTAGAGGGAGGGGGGCCCACGGCTAGGTGTGGACCTATGGCCATCCACTCTAAAGCCTGAGAGAAAAACAAAAGGGGGTGGAGGATCCCTACTTTCCTCCCAGATGCCTCTGAGACAGGAGCCCCTCCAGAGAAGTGAAGGGTGCAGCGGCTTTTCTCTGTGCCAACCACACAGGCCCAGCCGGAGCTGCCAGGGCCTGGAGGGCTCAACTCTACTTTGGGAATGGGAAGCTTTGCTCTCAGTGAAATCAATGAGGCTCTTATTCCTTTCCAGGGGTGAGGGGATTAGATTAACCTCATCAGCATAGCCATAGCTGGCCGGGGCTCAAGGCATCACCAATCAGACAGAAGCTAACAGCTCAAGACTTGGACCCAGAGTTCTGGATTCAAGCCAATGTGCTGCCCCTAGCCATGTGACCTTGTGACCTTGGGCAACTTAACCAATCTAAGCCTCAGTTTCCCCATCTGTTAAGTGGGGATCATAGGGCGATTCTAAGGATTAAGGTGCATAGCAAGTCTCCACAAACATTATTAATATACAGGCTTAAGTATGACTAGAGCTTCCTGAAATTAGGAACGATGTATTCCATTCTCCTTATCATGATTACTACCAATATTATTTTTAAAATAGAGAATAGAGTCATCATTACAGCCAATAAACACTGACCCTCCGGTCAGACATTCATTCCATCATTTGATAAGCTTGGTACAGTGATTCCACTTAGTGGCAACATTCAAACTCAACAGAGGCTGGAACAGTTAAGCTAGCCAAGAAGGGAGCCCTGGAAGGGGACTAAGGCAAATGTGACAATACAGTGCCTGGAATGTGGCTAGAGGACATTCTAGATGACCTCACTGAATCCAGTGCCCGCAGGGCACTGAGACCCAGGGAGCAGAAATAACTTGAGCAGGGCTCCTGGGTGGGGCTGCAGCCTCCTTTTCTGCTCTGGGTTTTACTTGAACGAGGATGTAGTTCCATACCCTTGGGCATGGATGCAAGACCACTCGGCGTGGCCGCCAGAAAGACCAGTAAGTCTTTATCCAATAAGCACAAACATACATAGCCACAGTCTTGGGGCCAGACTGAATACAAATGCAGACTCTTCACCAAGGACAGCAGGAAAGGGACTGGCCACTCATGGAGCACATGCGTGTGTCTTCTCCTGGGCATCTCGCCTAAGCCTCACCACACCCTTGTGCAGGTGGCACTCGTCTCAACATTGCAGAATCTGAGACTCTGAGAGTTCAGTAACTTGACAAAAGGTAGCACAGCCAAGTGGTGGAGCTGGGATTTGAACTTGGGCCTCACCACTTTCCACTATTTAACACGGCTCCACAGCCCAGAGCAGGTGGGGATGGGATGGGCAGGAGGGGGGGAGGGGTGCAGGGGGGTGTGCAGCTCCCACTACCAGGGCTGTGTTCTCACTTATGCCAGTTTCCCTAAAAGGAAACTGAAAAGATGCCCTTCCCTTTCTTTAGAAGAAGCTGGGGTCTTTCTGAAGAGTTTCCTAGAAGCACCTTCAACTGTAATCATGGAACCTCCTCTTCGCGGCACCAGGCCCCAAATCGGGTAACCTGCCCAGCATCCTCGCCACCTTGCCCCCCGCAGCCTGTGCTCTTTGGCCAGGCTCCGCTATGGACAGAGCCCCTTTCAGCTGGGGCCTGCGCAGCCAGGAAAGCCCAGAATCCTTGGGAGGGAACTGGCGGGCATAGGGGTGAGGCCGTGGCCTGAAAGCCTGCTTTTTGAGCCTGCCCAGTGTCACAGTACCCCACCACCCAAGCTGATGCCCACCCACACCCATGCAGGTGCCCAGATGCCGAGAGAAAGCGGACAATGTCTGGACAGAAGAATCTTGGAACCAGTTTCTGCAAGAACTAGAGACAGGGCAGAAGGTGAGTGTGGGCCTGGTCCTCTGGGAGTGGACGCAACCCTCGGCGAGTGCATTTTGGAAAGCGAGTTCACCCCCTCTGACTCGCCCTTCCCACCCTCAGCCCAAGAAACCATTGGTGGATGACCCTGTTGAGAAGCCGTCCCAGCCCATTGAGGTGAGTGCAGCATGGAAGTTGGGGGGGGGGACAGCAATGTAGGGGGACAAGTGAGGGAGATTCTGGGAGGTGTTGGTTGGCCCCAGTGACTATGGACAAAGGCCATGGACCCAAAGCTGCGATCCTCTCCAGTTCCATACAGTTTACCTCTGTATCCCCAGCACCAAGGACAGTGCCTGGCATACAGTAGGCACTCAAACATGTGTTGACCAAAGGAGGAGCAAAGAAGGGAGTGGTCAATGTGGACTGGAATTATCATGAAAGGTTCATGAAATGGGCTCTAAAGAGTCCCGAGGGGTTGGTAGGGCAGAGAGAGGGGCACTGAGGGTGGGGGAGGCATAGAGGCAAAGCCTGGACGGCCGGGTGGGCAGTGGGAAGGGAAGCAGGCTGGGGACAGTGAAGCCAGGGTGTGGAAGGCCATGGAAGACTTGATGGGAGAGGAAACCGGGAGCCCTGCAGGCTGTTGAACAAAGATGTAACAGGACAAAGAAGAATGGTACTAAGGCACTGTCAGGAAGTCCTAAGGGACTATCGGGCGAGTACCAGATGGGTGAGCTGGGTCAGGAGGGAGGCGCCCGTGAGAGGCTGCGGCAAGGCTCTCCTGACACCCGGACACACCTGGGCGCAGGCACACAGGCAAGGAGCCTGTTCTCAGTGCCCTGAGACTGCCCTTTATGCAAGCACTGTGTGCTTTGTCCTGCTGCCCGCTGAGCTTCTCATACCTGACCTTTGACCAGCCCCCCACACACACACACACTGTGCACTGCTTTCCCGTCGTCGTCGTGACCCCCCCCCTTTCCCACTGCCCAAGTCTCCCCATTATCCGCCCCAGGTCCTGCTGGAGAGAGAGCTGGCCAAGCTGAGTGCGGAGCTGGACAAGGACCTGCGGGCCATTGAGACCCGGCAGCCATCCCCCCAGGTACCGGCCCCCCATCCTCTCCTGGGGGATGCTGGGCCCGGGAGCCTGCAGCACCCGGGCTTGGGTGGGAGGCAAGAGGTGTCCCTCGGGCCGCTCTCGGCGCCACCTTGGGCAGACTTTCATCCCTGTACGGCGCGCTCCTCTAGAAAAGACTGGGCGTGGACTTTTCCAAGTGACTTCTAAGAACCCTTCCAGGCCGAGTCCGCGTCAGCCTGACGTCGGGGTGCGGGGGCTCCCCGCCCCGCCCCCGGACCTCAGCCCGCAGGGACCCCCGCCGCTACCCGGCCGGCTCGCCAGGGCCTCCCTCCCTCTTTCATATCTCCCTCCCCCGGCTCCTTGGCCACTCCTGGTTCCCGGCCCGCCCGCCCGCGGCGACTCCAGACCCGCGTCTCTCCGCC